TAACTACACTGACTACCAATAAGTATTTGGACACCTGGTGATAGAAAAGAAAAACTAACTTTATTCAAAATCAATAGTTGGTAGAACCTCCACGAGAGGTAATTACAGCGTGGACCCTCTGGGGTATACTTTCCACAAGTCTTTGTATGACAGCTAGTGGTATTTTCTTCCACTCAGCTTGGAGAAGACATAGAAGTTCCTTCACCGATTTTGCACGGGTAGTGCTCCCCTGAATTCGGCGATGCAACTCGTCCCAGAGGTTCTCGATAGAGTTCAAGTCTTGACTCTGGGCAGGCCAGTCCATTCGATGAACTAACTACATTGGCACCATACCAAGGCTTGGTTAACGTCGAAACATGACAACTGGCATTGTCGTCCTGAAAGTAACAGGGGTCCAACCCGTAAAACTGCCACAACGTAGGAAGCACATTGTCATCCAAAATAGTGCAGTAGGCATCGGAGTTGAGCTTACCATGAATGGGGACAAAGGGTTCCAGCCCATACCAGGAGAAACACCCCCAGATCATAATTCCACCTCCGCCGAACTTGACTGTTGGCACAATGCATTCTGGCAGGAGACGTTCTCCAGGTAGACGCCAGACCCAGACCCTGCCATCCGAACGGTAAAGAGTGAACCTTGATTCGTCACTCCAAAGAACCCGTTTCCACTGATCTACGGTCCAATTTCGATGTGCTTTGCACCACATTAACCGAGCAGCGCGGTTGGACTTTGTGATCAAATTCTTATGGGCAGCAGAACGACCATGAAAACCAAGCAGATGTGCTTCCTTACGGATGGTATTCATTGAAACAATACTCCCAGATGCCTGTTGAAACTTCTCGCGGATGAGGGTCATCGGTTGGATTGGTTGGGTGCGATTCTTCCGAATTTCTCTGGACAGCACTCGTGGATCTCTATCTCCCAGTTTCGTTGGTCTGCCGACTCGGGGCACATTCCGACAATCACCCCTCACCTTCCACTTCTTAATCACATAGGCCACTGTCGATATTGGGTACCTCAGATCGCTAGATATATCCCTTAAGGTTCGGCCACATTTGTGATACCCGATAATTATACCTTTCTCGAAATCAGAGAGCTCCGAACTGCGAGGCATCTTGCATGCGACTAAAGCCGATGCTGTTTCCTACACGATATATACCGGTGGAGTCCGTGGCGTACCTTGAGACCACAGATATCGTCATTTGCATAGGTGTCCAAATACTTATTGGTAGTCAGTGTATAAGCACGTCCGGTTATCAGTTGGGACGTCCAGAGTTCGAATCGTAAGGTGCGGTTGACTGGTTTCAAAAACTTCCAAAATGATTTCACTGTCGTGTCCAGGCGACTGGATCTTCGACTCCTAAGTCGCCCTTTAAATTGGAGCGGTCCATGCTTACTGCATGCATTCTTGATGTAATTTAAAGAACGTCCGACTAAAATATTTGATGTCCAAAGTTCGAACACCAACTAAAACATTGCAGAGTTTTTTCACTGGCTTCGAAAATTTTTATGATGACTCTACAATGTTTGCATATAAAACTGATATTATAAAGGTCATATTTTGTAAAACATATCTCCTGAATATTTATTATTGGTTACTGTGGATAACAGGAAACATTACATAAGCATACTGAAGTTTAATAAACGAAAATCTTGAAACATACTACATAGTTACATGGATATTTATCTTAAAATTTGTAAACTTGTATAAATTACGTTCATCACAACATCCATGACATATTTTTGTTTCTTCTCATTTCCTGATATCTGTTGCAACTTTAAGTAATAAAATGCATTAATTTACTATAGTATATTATCATGAACATTAAAAAATATATTAAAAAATACACATGTTCCAAAATACTTTGAATTGTACTTGGATACACATTATTACATATTCAAAAAATACTTTGGGTGATAGATTGGGCTCTATAAACTGATATGGGGACTATTTAAGTTTAATTATAGTACGATCAGTTTAAATATTTTAAACATGTTTATGAATTAATATGTATGTTATACATATGCATGAATATTAATGTTATTATATTACATAGTCATCGTGTCAAGTTACATGTTACATTGAAACTACTCACTCTTATGCATTAAAAATTTAAGATACGTGCTTTTAATATGTAGGGGGTGAAAGTATAAGTCTGGTAATCTGATGACAGTAAGCCGGTGTAAGCATATTGAGTTTGTAAATATATATTGACCAATAAAGTCCTAATAACTCTAAAGCACAAGAACTAAAGGAGATGGACAATAATACATCACCGATTGCTGTTCGATTAGGAGTTAGCTCATCCTCCCCTCCAGTTCTCCTGTAGGTAGGTAAATACAAGGAATTAAAGGCATTCCTTCTATGTTTCCATGTGGTGTAATGGCCAACATTTCAGCTCCATAATGGAAGACTTGGATTCTGCTCTTAGAAAGAGCACAATCAATGCTTCAAGATTCTTGGGCTCTTCTTGATAGTTATTGCCATGAGGATTAGTGGCAGTTTCACAAAGGAATCTCACACATAACGTTTCACAGAAGAAAAATAGAAAATATTAAAGTATTTAATTTCTCTCGTTTTGTAAATTTTTCCCACATAATGATCCATTCCATTTATTTTATTTATTCTTTTTTCATTATGCGCTTTATACTACTATACATGCGTTTGGTTTAGGGTTCTAACGATTTTTTGACAGGTTTAAACTGGGAGTATAATTTTATTCCAATCAAAATCGGATGCATAGGATTTCTTGCTTTACAGTTTAAATCATTACATAAGCAAAGTTTAAAAAAGGCATTGGCAATCAAATAGCCATTAACAACCTCATGAGGTCTTCATGCTATAATGATAAATATACTATTGAAAACCACAGATTAAATTCGTTGACAGCTTTGTTGTCAAACTAGAAATCATTAAGAAACTCAGCAAAAGCTTTTATGAAGATTTTCGCGCTTTTTGATCTGTAACGGATGTAACGAAACAGCTACACAATAATCGAGTACGTGCATTAACAATTTTAAATGCATAAATAGACAAAAATTTACTTAATGCTTTGAATGGTGAAATATTAGAACATCTGAATGTATTCATTGAAGCATGTACAGAACTGAGCTTAGATTTTCATAAAAGTTATTGAATCATCAAGAATCTGAAATATAAAGATTGCATATTTAATAACTTAATGTATATGTTAGAACTAAATACAGAGAGCACAGTATTTAGATGTATAAACAATAGTATATTATACAAACCACTTGGCGCAATATTTTATTGCTTTTCTGATGTATTACTGATGAATTTATTCGCTCATTTAATCAATTAAAAGAAAGTATTCAAATGGAATAACCACTTCTTCAACGCTTAAAGCTACACAAGGCCACATGCGTCTTGGCACCATTGTTCGGAGTGCCTACTGGGATATTGCTCATAGCTGTTTACGAGGCTGTTTCGCAGTCTTTCAGCTTCTAGCAAAGTTCTTGCTAGAGACTCACGAAACACTGACTTTCCTTCCTTCTATTTCGTGGTTACTATGTTTAGTATGTATATATCTTGTAAAAAGCACGAACGCTTTTAAAATGGTGAAATGCATGTACCTAAAATATCAATGCTTGCAAAGTTACACTAAATCATTACAATTACTGTTACAACTATTATAAATTGTTACACTTGCATTATTATAATAAATAAAATTTGCAATGGGAGTCTTTAATGCATGTCTTTGGAATCGTATATAGTCGCATTTAATGATCTCACCAATTTCACCACAATGAGCCGTCTTAAATGGGAAAACATCCAGTTTAATAATGTTAAGACAAAATTACAGTGAAAAACTGGATTTAATTTAAAACGTAATTTCCTTAACGCAGCATTTAAGGCGAATTAAAAGGAGCGTCGAAACAAATTTTCTCTTTCGGATATTGATTAGGGATTTATTAAGCAAATTATATAATCAACATGCAAATTTCCGTTTTTGCTATAAAATATCTTAAGTAATTTTTAAGTTCTTTACCATAGTTATACTTCATTTAAATATATTTCTATGTATTAATTTTTTGCTGAATATCAGTGGCATGTTTGGAATACTATTATTATTACTAACGTACAGTAAATATACATATATATATTTATTATAAATATTTATTAATAATATTTTGATATTTTTCGATGGTAATCAATTATATTTACGTAATTAATTACATTAGAGTATTGTAATAAATATTAAATATATTAGAGAGAGAATTTATTAATATAATATTTGTCTCCATGGTTTATTTTGATCTCCATGGACGTATTTTCCAGTAAAATACCAAAAAGTCAAAAATCGTAAATAGTCGCAACAGAAATTAGCTAGATTATTTGAAACAACAGGTATTGAAATGTTTGCATCCATAACGATGAAGACGGTTCCGTAGCTATTATTTCAGCCTGATCGAAATCAAGCAAAACCAAAATTTCATATATGGAAATTCGATGAAATATAATCTGTTATTATTGCAAAATAATTAAATCTATCACGATGAGAACTCGTGATATTGTGTGGCGCAAACCGAAAGGTTTGTGGGATTCAATTAAAACGTATTAACGAAACTCTCACCTTTATAAAAGCTTGTTTACGTTGTATCGCAGTTCAAATAAATCTACAAAAAATCATGAAATTGAACAGAAATTTATGAAATATTTGCAAAGAGATTGTAATCTTTTTAATCTCACAACTACGCTTCATGTTTCCCCTATCGCAGACCAGCCGAATAAATTATTCATTCACAATTGTAACGATTAAAAAGGTCCTAGAACTTTTAATCTTTATATTAAATAGTAAAAGCAGTTTTTCTATCACATGCGCCTCTGCAATAAGAATTTCCTTTCGTAAGTCAGATGTCAAATTTTAGTTTTACGCTCAGTAAATATGTTGATTTGTAACAAGTGTGATATTTGAGCTTTTATATTTGGAAAGTATTTTATGCACAGCTAAATATTTTGCTTTGCATTCTGTTTCAGAACATCTTAGAAAAATTCAATCCGTGTGCTCGACAACTAATATCAGCTGGAAAAGCATACCTTAAATCCCTTCATGGTAAGTGTTTATCCTGTTACTATTTATTTGGTTAATATTTTAAGCAAGGATGAAATTTCTGTTCAATCTTCAGAAGAACTGTTTCATTACTTTTTGAAGAAAACCACTACGTGGTCATTAATAATTGATTAACAAATTATGTAAATCTGTATGTAAATTAAGTGAGTTTTAAGAATTAAGTGAATTTAATTAATATTAATGAGATGTTAAAAATTCAAGAGTACTCTAATTCAAGAGTATTAAATTTGTGTAAAGATATTGGTTTCCAAATAAAGAACAGTTTTCGTTTTGGATTTAAATAATAATAATAAAGATTATAAATATGGAAAAATTTTCAAATATATATTTCTTTTGCGAATTTATTGCTCCAAAATGTTTAATACATTCATCCAACTTTCATTAAACTGCACATCACTTTGATTCTTTTTTCCCACTCATATTTCCAGAGTTTTTCCTCGTAAAATTTATGCAAGCTGTATTGTACACTAATTAAAAGGTTCTCTTGCAATAATGTTACTTTAGACAAGTATTTTGAGATGTAAATCTATAACACCTAGATATATAACAACATATTTATTCTAGTAATAGATGAATATTCAAGAAATAGTCGGTTAGGTGGAAAAATAAAATAAGTATTATTCCTGATAGAACAATTGCTAGAGCCTCATGGTAATGCTAGTGCTCATACAGGCTACAGCCTCATGGGATAAGCATTATTGTTAATTAAACTCTGCCTTTCGATGGTTGAACAGCTATCCGTCCTATGAGTTTACAGTTGGTATGCGAGTTCAACATATGGAGAAACGCTTCGAGAAACATTGAAGGAAATGCGCAGTGTTGACATAATAGGCCTATACGAACAAACATAAAGATGTTACAGCAGATGATACAATGAATGTGTACTAGAATACAATGTGATTGTAGTAATACAGTAGAAAACAAATAAAAATATAATGAAACTTATATCTGAATAATATAAATACTATGTGAGGATAAGACAAGTTTTTTGTAAAAAAATAGCTATATATTATACATTATATGCACGAAGTATAACGTAAAGTAAGTAGCTTTGAGTTCGAAGAGCAGTGCTTAGACGTAGTTACAAGAATATATGAAAACCACTAAATCTCCGATTCCCAAACGAAATGAATAAACGAACGCACGAAACTCTTTGCGATTTGAATTGCATGGCAATGACAATGTGAGAACTAAAAAGTAAAAAGAAATTTAACTTTAAAGTTATACATTTTGAGACTTGGAGATAAGATTAAACGAAATTAAATAATAAATAAAGATTTAACGAAGGTGGATCATTCTTTTATTTTAGCGCATAACTCAAAATGCTCGTTGTTGCGCAAAGTTTTGTGCAATAACGAGAAGTAAAGTTAAGTAAATAAATCAAAGTATGAAATTAATTCAAAACTTCACTCCACAGAATGTTTAGGGTAAAACCATTAGTAAACAATGCCTAAAACGTAATAACTAATTGCGCTATAGTTAATTCTAAAGAGTGTACTTCCACCTGTGATAAACGAAGCATACGTATTTAGGGTAAACTTGACCGATCATTTTCGTTGCGGGAGGAAAGGAGGCAGTTGAAATGTGATAGTTGACGGAAGACACCATCATTCTACCAAGAGGTTAGGTGGTACTGACTTGTGTCACCGCATATCTAGCATTAGAGGCAAGAATTTCCAATTGACCTTTTAAGATCAGCTGAGTGCATCCGTGTCACACTAACTTTTTTCTCTTCACCTTGTCTAATATAAGATGCAAGAATAATTCAGAATTAATTATATATAAAAAAAAGAGCTCAAGAGAATGGGTAGAACAGAGAGAATAGAGAGATAGATTAGAATAGAGAGGGCAAATAAACAAATTCAAATTAATGGGCTATTGCTAATTTAAATTATAATTTATATTTACATATTTTTTTACTTTTCTCATATTCTTAGATACATAGGTATATATATATATATATATATATATATATTTAATTATTCCATAGTTTAGAAAAAGCAAAATTAATTATTAATTATTGAAGTCGTGCATCGAGCAGAAGTTTGCGATTGCCACTTTAGAATGATTTAATCTATTAATGATCACTTGAATATATATAATGAAAACAAATTTAGAAGTAGATGTAGTAACACTGAGCTCAGGCCTAAATTTGAAATCTACCCCGTTACAAAACATGTCGCTCAGTGATTTGGCTATTTCAAAATAGTTGGCAATAACAATTTTCAGAAATATCTCATGAAACTCCAAAAGCTCCGAAATTTGCTTAAAGTTTTAGGGTTCCGGAAACTTTTGAACGACAATGGTGTTTTTAGGAGAGGTACGAATTGCACCATCCCCAATATTATACCCGAAAAATTCTATTTTTCTCTTTAAAACTGGCATTTTCTAAAACTGATCTCCAAACCGTATTATTTGGCTACTTCTAAAACGCTTCTTAACTTTTAAGCCTTCTTTCTCCACTCACGCTAAAATAATAAAATCGTCCATGTAAATATCAACAGGGCCAACTCGAATTAAATCTCTAAACATTATAAATAAATCTTTGGAATACACTCGGTGGCTCAAACAAACCAAAATGTACTTTTAGGAATTCGAGGAGACCGGCATACGTAATAAACGCTTAACATTTGGCGCAGTGTTACTCCTCGGGAACATGGCAAAAAACCATTTTTTTAAATCTAAACTTTCTAAAAGAAACCTTTGATTCACCCAAATGATTTAAAACATCTACTTATCGACGGGAAATAAATCCTTAATTAGTTCTTTATTTAATTCACAAAAATCTACGCTCAAATGCGCGGTATGCTTTATTTTTTGTACACAAAATGATTGGCGAAGCATATTCTTATTTATTCATAACAAGATAGCTTTATACTCCCATCCCTTAACTACTCTTCGATTTGATGGTCAACAATTCTTTCGTCAGCAAAAGGAATTTTCTCGAACGCTGAGGAGCTTGGATTTCATCTTTTAATGTAACTTTCATTTTTAAATCTGTACTAGTAATCTGCAGTCTGACGATTTATACTTTTTAATATGAGTGGAAACTTTATAACATAATCATTCCTTCGTAGCGTGCGTTAAATCTATTTCGCTCTCCTCCTCATTGGCTGCAGAAATAAAGATAAGAAATTTCTTTTTGGAGAGAGATAGTCAGCTTCATGTGTTACGTAATCATAACATGATCATCGCAGTTGCCAGATGAAAACATGCAACATGAGGAGCGGAAATGCAGTCTGTTCGTAACTCCGAAACTATTGCCGCCTCCAGTTCGATGCGTTTTTCGATTTCACGTAATGAAAAAATAAACTTAGCTGTTTTTGCTCGAACCATGTGTCCAAACGAATTTTTAATTTCTATTAATCCAGAAGGCATATCGAGGAAGAGAGATTTCACTCTCAGAATGTTTTAAACGTTTTATTCTCCTACCGTCAAGTGACAATTCAATAAATTCTAACTCATTTCGAGCTGTACTAACCAGTTTAATCTTTAAAGCCGGTACTACAGTTTTTGAGTTGAATTTTCATCCTTTTCGAAACGTTTGGAACAGTTTCGAGAAAATGAATTACACTGGTGTGCAAAAATTAAGGACGAAGTCAAAAAATTAGCATATCAGCTGAACGAAGAGGCAGAGCGGACAGAAAGACCAATCAGGAGATTAAGTAAGGTGATGTACGGTAGCACATGCGCAGATATGCAGGTAGACGTAATGGGGGAGTGTCTGAGTAGTATAAAGCATGTTGTCGGTGTAAGATCAGTATTTCTGGCAAAGAGATTGCACGCCGTATAGTAGTTAAAATCACACCGAATTGCTGCCTCAGCGAGAAATGGCGAATAATCAATCTGTTAGACGACATCTGGATGCTTTTACCCGAGGTCGAATCATTGGGAAGTTGGAGGAAGGCAGGAGTGTGACAAGTGTGGCTGCAGAGTTCGGAATTGCTCACAGCATCGTTTCACGTCTTTAGAGACAATTTCAAACTACAGGAACAGCTATCCGGGGGTTTAGTAGTGGTCGTCCACGAGGAACGACACCCGAAGATGACCGGTATATTGCCTTACAGGCCAGAAGAAACAGACGGCAGACAGCGGGAGAAATCGCTAGACGCACGAAACAGGCGACTGGACGACCGATATCGCGTTTTACCGTGGCCAGAAGACTGCACGGTGGTGGTATGTTTGCACGACGCCCTGTACGGTGTATACCTCCAACGCCTGCCCATCGGAGAAGGCGGTCTCTGTGGTGCCGGGAATACCGGACTTGGAGACGCAATGAATGGGGACGAATACTCTTTACAGATGAGAGAAGATTCAGTCTGAGTAGCGATTCTCATCGCATACTCATCTGGAGAGAGCGGGGAAGCCGCAATCAGCCCTCGAACATCATTGAAAAGGACAGGTATGGAGGTGGCGGTGTTCTCGTTTGGGGAGGCATCATGCTTGGTAGTCGTACAGACCTTCACATCTTCGACGCAGGTTCAGTCAAAGGGGCCCGTTATTGTAACGAGATTCTTCTTCCATATGTGCGTCTTTTTAGAGGTGCTATGAGTCCGCAGTTCCTTTTCATGGACGACAATGCACCATGTCATCGCACAGTAGCTGCCGAACAGCTCTTAGAGAGTGAGGATATTGAACGTATGGATTGGCCGGCACGATCTCCGGATCTCAATCCCATCGAGCATGTATGGGATTTTCTAGGCAGACGCTTGGCAGATCGTACCTTACCACCAGTAACGATTCCGGAGCTTCGATTGGCGCTGCAAGACGAATGGGCAGCAATGCCTCAACAACTCATTGACACCCTCATTGTCAACATGGGCAGACGCTGTGAAACCTGCCTAGCAGTCAGGGGAGATCATATCCCCTATTAATAACCGGATGGTTCTTGCTGGACACCCGTCACAGGGATGTTTCGGCCTTCAGTCGCATTGCGCTCCATGCTACTTTTAGTAAGTGTTGCTTACATTACTCGTGTCTTT